GAAAGAGTTCATTGCAGTGTTAAACCTGATGGTCTGGTCTAAATGGCATGTAACCAGGAGACTTTATTTTCATTCCTTCAAGTAATTCAAAATTTTATGTTCAAATGTTGTGCTTAGCTATTCAGCCTAAGTCCTGGAAGCACCATCGTCCCAACAAACTTGCATAAAAAATTACATAGAAAAATTCACATACATGTCTGTGGAGCAGTAAGGGAAAAATGTGAGAATGCAAGCAGTCAAGAATGATCAGCTTCACGTCAAGATGTGTAGGAAAAAAATGTTGCAACTCTTGTATCTTAAGCAGAATTGCAGTTGCAAGCAGTAACAATTTTGTAAAGCATAATCAAAGCGAAGATATCTTTGCTTACAAACAGGTTTCTCAAATACAGTGAAACCCAACAACAAAGTTGTTGTACAACAGAGTTGTGGAAGTTGTGCTGTCACTTAGATTTTTTTGACTTTGTGATGCTTGAGTCTAGTGGTCAAACTGCTACAGCTTACTCCTTTACCATGTGTTCAGTAAAAGTTGGTAAATAAGGCAAGGAACCAGATAGCCCAAGGGAATCAATACGTGAATCCAGCTACATAGGTGGAAGGTGTAAGAAGTTCAAGCTATGCCATTTACGTTTGCTGGAATTGTGGTGAGAATAGGAAAGAAGTTCCATAACTTCAGATCAGAAAAGGATGGAGAGAGCATTTGACAAAGGGAACCTCCCATTGGTTGTGTAACTGTGTAGGTCTCATACTGGTTACACAGCTCATAATTTTTTGTCTTGTTAAATGACTCTCGGTCCCTCATGAAGGTGAAAATACTGCATGAGAAGTCCTAACTAAGGCTGTCAAGGGGTAACTCTTTAGTTAACCAAACGGTATCTTATCACCTTTGTAATCTCTTTCATGTTTTACTAACGATACTTAATTTTAAAAATGTTTATTCCTTAAAGTTTTCAAGAACTTCTGGAGATGCCTATATTTACTTGCTCATTTCTGAAACTGATTGTGCTATTGCAGAATAAATCATTCTTTGAGCTATCTGTCTTCATTTTGAAGGAACCCATAACAGCATCTATATTTAATAAATTGCTAGACTCTAGAACTCTTCATCTACTAGACTACAAGCAATACAATGATTTATCCCCCTATCCATAAATCCAGGCTTTGGAGAGCATTAGAAGACTTTCAGCACGCTGCCCGTTTTTCAGTACCATCTCTGTTAGATAGAGCTGTTACATAAAACCTTTATGGAGTGAGATTTGCAGATGGATTTCTCTAGTTCTGTTAATGATCTTTCCATCTGTATCATCCCTGTAAGTTTTTCATCTCCAGCTGTACAGGAGACATTGTCACTTAATGGAACCCTAGGGTCTATACAGCACAGAAAGGCATAATTTATGTGATGTTTCTCAGTAGAAAAGCATAGTTAATCCCAGTTTCCAAACCCCAAAATTACAAGTGTAAAAAGAAAAAAAAAAAAAGTAATTTACTCCTCCTTTAGTCTTAAACAAGACTGGATTTTTGCTAATTGAGGAGAGAGAACAATCTTGCTAATCGGACAAGAGAGGGGAGCGTTGTTTTAAAATATATTGTATTACAGTTGGTCTCCTAAAAACATTTTAATTCATACTAGTGGAGTTCATGAAAAGGCCTCCTTGGGTCTTTTTGTAGACCCAAGGACATCCCTCACCTCCCTCACGTACCTCATCTTCATTTTACTAATGACAGCGGCAGCAGGGACCACACACTGAAAGGAGAAAGCCACTGGTTTTCCTGAATTGAATTTAGCTCATTTACTGTAGGTGCAGGGAGTAGCTAATTGGAAATTCTAGGGGCAATAAAAAAAAAAATAAAATCTTTGTTCAAGGGAATGTATTGTAAAATGCATGGCTTAAGTGTTTGACTACTAATGGGCATTGTATGATATGAATGCTAGTAATTTGTGACAGGAGTACTTGTGAAATTAATAGGTGGTAAAGGTAAAAGGATGATGCAGGGAGGAAGCTGTGGAATCAGAGGAACTTGCAGATAAGGGAGTCTCTCACAACCAGGGCAAGGAAACAGATACAGGTTGCATGGAGGGGAAACCACCACTACACGGCAAGATGAAGAAGCCTTGTCAAGCAAAAAGCAATCATGTGGTAAGATTTGATCTTAAAATTAGTGAGACAGGAGGTAAAAAAGGTATAAAACCCCCACAGAAAATAGCAAGAGGTCAGAGGGAGAGAATAACAAAGAGAAAGGTGCAGCTCGCCCAGGGTGGGGAGGGAAGACCCTAGCTGGTCGACAATTCTGTTGTGTTGGATTGGGGCTCTATATGTGCTTTCAAGATATATATATATACTTATACATGCTACACTAATGTACTTGATCAGATGTCTCTAGGACTCTAGTATCTCCCTGTGACCACTCATTGCTGATTTTTCTTCTGTTCTACAGATATATTTAACATATCACTTGGTTTTGGCTTACTCGCATTTTTTCCCTGATAACACTATGTTATTAAAGAAAGCAGTGAGGAGAAAATATACATGAAAGCATTGTAACAACGACCAAAGAGGGAGAAGAGATGAGAACAGGGATTCACGATGACTGTCTCTCCTATTTTTCAATGGGTGGCAACAGGTGGCAGTGTTAGCACAGGAATTATTTTTCCACTGCTTAAAACCTCACTCTAAGATTCACAGGCAGTTTTGTTGTCATTCTGATTTTCTCAGTGGAAGAATTTCAGATTACACTATCTTCAAAGTATGTATTCCCTACATGAGTGTGGAAAGCCAGTTGTGTCTTTCCCACCAAAGCTGCAAAATCTTAAGCTTCAAATGCAATTACATGCCACTAGAAAAATTAAAAAATGTGTGTGAAAGTATGTTAAACCATGATTGATTTAAAAAATCCCAGACAAATACTGTGTAATGGCCTTAAAGTTGCATTAGGCTTGGTAAATGATAGAATTTAGAATTTGATTATGATTTCTGACATAATTTACTACATAACAGAAAAAGTATGAATATGTCACAGCAGGATACATCAAAATAAATAGGCTGATTTATATCTATGATTTATATCTGAGGTGCATTTAGCCCCCTAGACATGAGATGGCTTCAGCGTGCATGGCTGTGACGTGGACCTCAAGCACTGTGGGGCAGTGGAGGAGAGGGGGAGGGACAGGAGAGCTTTGGCCAGGCGAACCTGGGAATCTGCTCCAGGCTTCCCCCCAGGCTTTGGTTGTGGTTCTTTTTTTTTCTTTTTAAATTTAAACTTGCTGCTCATGCCTCGGCTGGTTTAACCTTTAGCTGACCTAGTTATTGAACCAGGGCAGTGGGTAGCAGCTGAGGAAGTCAGTATTTCTCCTTTGTTGATTGCCATTTACTGAGGAGCAAGCAGAAACTGGTACAAGGCTGGGTAACATGCACATAGAGGAGCTGGTGCTGTATGCGCTGGGACCTCAGCGACTCCTGGTGTCCTCAGTCCTTCTGCACAACCAGCTTCAGGCCCTGATTACAAATGCACACCAATCCATGCACTCCCATGGCAAGGGGGCTAGTGCAATGCAGGGATCGCTGGCCTGGCCTTCCAGCCAGAAGCCTCCTGTTCCTTGTTGCGTGTGCTACAGAAGGGGGAGTGACATGGAGATAATCAGCAACCGGAAAATTTCTGTGCAACCGTGCATCACGACTGCGAGGAGCACAGACAAAGGCGTATTTCAAAGGTAAGTGGTCAGATGTTGCAACACTGCAATAGCACTGCATATGAAGCTGAGACGGCACTGGCACCGTGGCGATGGCACTGTGGCGATGCTGTGAGTTGGCACTGAGCCCCCCAGCAAGTGGCGGGTGGCAAATGCTGCATGGCAGCTCCTATGCAAACTGGGGAAGTTGGGGTTTATGGTGAAGGCTATAATTAAAGTTATTCATAAGAATGAAAGTATAAACACGAGCTAACCTGCTAATTTAAATGACACAATCATAGATTTTGACCCTGAAGACACTGAAGACCTTGGGGCTGCCTTGATTTTGTGGCTTACAGCAATGTTCTGTTGGTGTTATGTACAACCAGCACATCAGTGCAACAGTGTTCTGTACTTGAG